CATGTTGGATTGTGATCTGCAAAGTAGAATGACCCAATTAGGATTCTGATTCCGCAAACGACTTCCCGGCATTGATGGATTCAAGCCAGCACAGCTAGCTTCCGACCCATTTCTGGTGTGACCATTTTGATCCCAAGCAAGTCTCAACCCCAGAGTCCCAGTCCTTGCGCTCCTCTGTTGAACCTCAAAGCCATGAAACTTTGAGACCATCAGATGCCCCAAATTCCTCATTCTGGGATTCAGATCTGATATGTTATACAACTTCTGGAGCAACATGATCAAAAAATAAGTGGGAAGATTTGTGTGGTGGAGACAACGTGCAACAAAGAAGGACATTGTACTGCACTGGATGAAGAGATATGAAGAGATCATTCTTGGTGGTGAAACTGTTGTAATAGCCACCCGTTGATTGTTCAACAAGCGTTCGTGCGGATGACGGGATCCTAAGGATGACACCCATGGACGAACGCAGGGAGGCTGGATACAAGCGACTTCCTCTGCTCAAGAGCTCTTTGGCCTTACCATCCCAAAGCGAAGTGCAGAAGGGTGGTAACCAAGGTTTTGGGGACAAAGACTGGGTGGATGCAAAAACCAAACATGATTTTAATGAGCCGCTTCATTCAAATCCTGCACAGAAAACCTGGAACTCCTCAAGGGCGTCCTATCAAGATGCTGTTCTGCATTGCATGTACCACTCAGGTCTACCAAATTACCAAAGAAGCGACCGTTCAACTGGCAATGCCATACATCTCATAGGTTCAACAGCTGGAGGATCTTCACAGATTGCCCACTGCACTGGCGCTACGGCGGCGCCGTTAAGCGATAGCCCCCAAGCATGGGCCTATCTTTGTACGACACTTCTGGGAGCCAAGCCTTGTTTCTCAAGTCTGCTTGCTCCAAATTCATCACCTCACATTGTCAGTGGCTGCAAACAGCAGCCTGGACTTGATATGTCTCCGTACAGCCGCACCTCCTCAATAAATGCTTTTCTCCTGCAAGACAAGTTCAAACTCTTAAGATATACACAGGGTACAATATTCAGAACCAAACAGAAAGCGGACATCGGGCAATACAAAGATATACAAAGTCTGATCTGATGGCACTCATCGCTGACTTCACAGTGCTCCTTTCTCTGAGGGCTATCCCTTCCTCATAAAGCCGATGTCCAACACCTCAGCATGTCAGGGATATGTCGGCTGTTGGGTTCAAAAGTGTCAGGGCAAGTTGATCCCCTCTATGACAAAAGCTGGGCTGTAAGAGTTGAGGGCATATTTAGATTCATTTTGATGTGTTTCCTCCTTCAAACACCAGTTGGGTCCAACTGACCCAGGAAGCGCCACCCTTTGTGCCCAGCAACTTTTTCCAGACCCCGACCGTGGCAACCCATTCCGCCTCGGAGTGCAAAGCCATGAGGCATGTCATCTGCCAACATCTGCTGATGTCGTTCCAAACTGGTGGAGTTCCCCCAAAAATGGATATGTTCCTTGCCCAAAATCATCAAACAATTGGTGTTTTCCTGAAAATCCAAAAGAATTATCAACCCCCCCTTTCCCAACCGGCTTGGATATTGTGCAGGTATATGGTATGTCATCTTTCAAGCAGTCCCAAGGTCCACACCTTTGGGGCGACCTCAGCATGAAATCCCAGGGATTTCTTGTTCCCCTTGATCGTTGTTGAACCATATTCATGACTAGAACCGGTTGATGTTGAACAACTTTTACGGTAGGTGAAACTGGTCTTATACATTACCGTTTGTTGTAAGCTAGTGAATGTTTTTACATACAACTACGGTTCTTCTTGAGTATTGAACCTAATATCATCCTCTTCTTGTTTTGCAGCCCTGTTCAATCATATATATCCATGTACTGAACCCACCTCGCACCCAACAGTGTCTCAACACCGCTGCATCTCTGAATGAGCTGAGGCTGCAGCGCCTCGGCCTGACATTCACAGTGCATCAAACCATCAAGAGATGTTTTCTTTTTGATAGGTTCGATATTGGATCTGTTCACTCCTCTCGATCCAATTTTGGGTTTAATAGGGGATATGATTGTCCTTGAGTCTGGAAAGTGCTTTGCCAGTGCCAATAGAAAGGAAAACGGAATCCAATAGAGCAACTGATTCCAACATATTCCAATCACCAGAACACAGCTCAAACCATCAGCCTCAAGCCATTAAAGCGGTGGTTCTCTTTGTTTTCTTGGTTTTGAATGCTTTGAACCCATCCTCTAAGCAAAAACCGATACACATTCCCTCTCCCTGGAAGAAACAACATCCAAAGGCTCGCCTTCTCAGTCCTCTCGACGCGGGGTGAAGCCACTGATCGGCGAGATCGCGCCTGAAGCGACTGAATGAGTGGGGCAGCATCTGCAAATGAAAAAATCACAAAGAATAAAGATAGAAACTGAATGAAATTAATGTACAATTGGAAATTCAAAAATAACAAAAATCATGAAAAGACATCTTCACCAACCAAATTAATTAATATTAAACGTGGCCAATGAATAAACGTATGATTCAGTCGGCATTTTTTGGGGACCAAAAATTCGGAAAATGAACGAGCATCCAATGGCAATCCAGGCCCGATCCGCTTTCCAGCTACCAGGCGAGGCTAGGTTCGACTGACCTGAGTCCCTGGCAGCTGGCCCGTGCCTGGACGATGGGTTTCGAACCTGCCATGGAGCGGTGGATGAAGATCACCACAGTGGATTTGTTCCTGCTGGTCCTGCTCTAAGTCGAGATCTCGCTCAAATCCTCTGAAAATAAAGTATGATATTGACAGAGTTGACTGCTAGTCAAATGCAATCTTGCTCTTAATGATTTTCTTTATTCTTGAAATGTCAGATATCTTCATGTCAGACACCAGCTGTTGGCTTAATTTGCATGTTTTCCCCGTGATCTAGGATAATCAAAGTTGAACATTGGCAACCTGATCCAAGAAACATGATGCCTGGATTTGCCAAGCCCAACATATCTCAACCATCAATTGGCCCAACAAAACCAACAAAACCATCAATTGGTCAAGTGCAGTGGCTCACACCCCAACTCTGGGGTTTCGGACGCCCACTTGAGAAGCAATGTCCTGGAAGGGAAGCCACCAAAAGTTGGGCTGTGGCAACAAAAATAAATCAAAGAACTGGGGTTCAAATTTGCGGGCTAGAAAATGATACACAAATTTGGTCATGACACATGGATTTTTGCAGCATTTAAAACAATTTAAGAATATGAGCCATATCCAAATCTGTGGAACTATTCTGAATAAGAGTGGAGGGATAGTGAGCTGTTCCCCTGTTTAACAGTTTTTGCATCTTGACTCGGAATCCATCAAGACCTCTCAAGCACCCATGCCTGGGTGGAAAGTCAAACATGTGACGATTGTGACGGCCATATCCCTGGATCCAGTTCCCATCTTGCCAGCCTCTAAATAGCTCGGAATCTCATTCCCATATGCTTCGTAGAGTGCTTGTTGGACCTGCGGATGCTCAAAATTGCGTTGGGATTTGTCTCTGTTTAACCTACAGAGATAGAACATGTCAAGTCACCAATCACCAATGCAACATAATCATATCAATCATATCAACCGGATTTTGGATGGGTCCGATATTTTATGGAAGGACGGTTCTGTGGGACAACAGGTGCCATCACTGCAGTTGCACCTGATCTGCAAAGGTCTGGCGCCAGACCTTGGAAGTCATTGGAGTATTCCATCCTGAAATGATGTAAAGATTATCCCAAAATTGAGGGGACAATCATTTTCTAGGCTCCTTTTTCATCCGCTTCAGTCACTTCGACATGTTTTCCGTTCACCGTCAACAAAACTTGTCTCAGGTTCTCAGTTGCACACATCTGTCGGCATCTTCTGTCATAAGCGGAGCTTTGAACCCAAAGCGCCAAGAAGACACAAGATCAACGCGCCGTGCTTGTGGCTTGAAGGGGTCATGCCTACTTGACCCATAGTGATCGTCAACAAGACAATTAACAAATTCATGAAAACTCCACTGCATTCCGTCAAAAGTGAAAAACATGAAAAACTTTGACTGAGATCTGTGAGCAAAACAAAGAATAATTGTTTGCTTCCATGTAGATGACTCGACGCAGGATTGCCATGAGAAAGAGTATGAGAACTCTCTCCACTGGCACAAGAAGTGAAAGGGAACAGTAACTCATTCTTTCCCTTTCTGCTGTTGCAATGTTTTTTTGCCATTTCCGCTTGGGTCAACTTGACGTCCAGCATCCAGCACCGCTGTCTCAGTGACACTGTCATCCTGCAAGGCAAATGAAAGGAAACCACTTGGGACAAAACCTCACAAGCAGAAAATGAAGCAGGGAGAAAACAGGAGTATACTTAGTCTAAGTCTGGAGGTTGAGTATCATGTTTTATGGAATAGCAAAGAATAAGTCAAGGAATAGTCAAGGATGCTCTTCTGCGATTCCAAAACATCCGCTATCCTGTTTAGAAACTTTGAATTGGGGAGACTCACATTTCCAGTCTCATTTGTGGCTGGTTGCAGTGATTTTTAAAAACTATGGGACCAGTTGGGGGCTTGAGGTACATGTGTATTTGATTCCGACAAAAGGAGCAGGAAGAAACGCAGTGAATTCCCACTTCTGGCCACCGGCTAAAAAAATGGAGGTCACGTTCAACATCACAGTGGGCCTCGACCATGTTCGCTATTCAATGCAAATTCCAACAGCAACCAAAGACCCCCGCTCTGGCCAGCGGACTTTCGCCTGCAACCTGCTTGACCTGCAGAGTTCGAGGTAGAGAAGATCAGCTGCGGTGCAAAAATGCCTCAAGGAAGGAACCGGAATGAACACAAGTCAAAATCATTTGTCAGAGCTCCAACGCCATTCTGCCGAACATAGCCGGGGTCAGTGCTTTCACAACTGCAAATCACTTGGCAAACCCAACAAAAGACTAAGTCGGGTTCTCATCCTCAAAACGGAGCTTTCCCAACACAGTGCTTCACTGAAAATCACAAGCAATGCCCCTCAGCCTTTTTGCAAAGCGATAGCATGTCATATCTACATTGGCCAATGACGAGCCATGACGCAAGAAAGCTCGACATGTCTAAGGTGTGAGGAAATGTCCAAGTTCTAAGCAATGGCATTTGCTGGCTGCTAGGAATCTTTCACGACTTTCTGGATCTCCTGCAAATGGTCACAAACTTTGAGGTACTGCTGAAGCTTTTTCTCTAGATGTGGCAAGTCCGAATTCTCCTCCACGAGCATCGTTAGCCGCCCCTCAAGCTTTGTTTGGAGCCACTTCTTGACGGAGTCGTTCAACCTGCTCAGGTTCAGGTCTGCGCACTCCTTGAGGCTGGCCAATCTCTGGTCTGGAGTCTCTGCTATTGCCAAATTGAATAGCCTCGGGCCAGCGTACGAGCCCAAACCAACCGAACAAAGAAAAAACGTTTGTGCCAGAGGCCCACGGCTAGCTACAGATAGAGCTCCAGCACCTGCGACGCCGAGAGTAGTCATAGCAGCTGCGAGCTGCTTTGATACCCCAGGGATCTCTAACTTCTGAGACAGTGACCCCGAGGCGAAATCAGGGATCCCGATTTCTCCTGCCCAACCAAATTGTTCGGCCAATTGTTGGTGCAAGATCTCCACATAGACCTTGGTGCTCTCTCGCATGACCAGGTCGTGGTGGTTACTTTTGAGGTGCTCATTTCTGTGGCACCAATCAGCAACTCCTGGGTCGAAGGTTTCGTCCACATCGTTGTAGCACCAGCCGGGCGAATCAAATGCTGCCATCTGTTCAATCTTGCCCTGGACCTTCAGCCAGGCCTTCTTTTTGAGCAGCTCCATGAATTCCACGTCCAAATTGCATAGTAGCTTGAAGTATGCATCAACCTCTGTTTCCCTTCCCAAGCAAATCTCCACCCGCTGGTGAATCTCATCTACCACTCCTTGAATATGTCTCTGCATTCGTTTCAAATGCGGTCCCAAGACAACAAGACTACAGAGCTCCGAAGTGAAGCCAGCAGTCTCCGGGAACTCATCCAGTTTCTCCTTCAAATCTTTCTCCAGATCTTTTCCCTTGAATTTCTTCGGGTCCTCAACTTTCATGTGTTTGTTTTCAACACCATCGAAAATGATCTGACAGCGTTGCTTTTCAGCTTCACACCTGCGCTTCTCTTCATCACTGGCATCGACTTCCACACTTGGAAATCTCTCTGGCAAAGGGCCAGCGCGGGAAGCAACATGAGCTCTCAAGAGGTAGCTGTCGATGAAACGAATCCCCAGGGGCTCTGGTTTGAGCTGCGCAGCTTTCTGGCAAACTCTTGGATTCCATTGATCGACAGTTTTCTTCCCGAAGACCTTCGTGATGACTATGTAGTATCCGCTGAAATCGGAAACTCCGCCAAAGAAACGGTGCACCAAATCAGTTCCCTTGCGGTCATGTTCTATGACCATGTCAGAGGACAACACCAACAAAGCCGTAGAGGCTCGGCTGCAACTTGCTCTCACCATAGTCTTGATGAAGTCTCCAATGAACCCGTCCTCAGTGCTACCTGGCAAGTCGACAAGGATCACTGGCAACGCTCCATGGCTGCATGTAGGGATCTTGATGTCAACTGACCAGTCGAAGCAGAGATGTTGTGAAAGGACCCGTTTCTCTTCATCAGAAAAGTTTTGCCTGAAGGTCTCAGAGTCCAGAAATTTTCTGAAGCGTTTGTTTATTTTTTTGATGGTTTCTTGAACTTCTTCAGCTGTGTTCACCTCTTTGGCCTCCAGCGTCTCTTTCAACCTGGGAAAAGCCATGCGCAAAATGCTCAACAGCTCAAACCTAATGAAAACTTAGAGCTGACAGCAGCCAGAATCAAGTATGCTGTAATCCGCCGACCCGTGCCGTTGCCATTGCAGGGGGAGGCGCCCGAGACAGCGAAGCATCAGCAACGACACTGCTCTTCTTTGCAGGCAGGCAGTTCAGGAGCTGACGGCGCCACGACCAGCTGCCCTTCCAAGGCACGATCTGCCCCGCAGTGCCCTGCCGTTTCGGCGTGGCAAACGGACGTTTTTGAGCCCTTTGGCTGGCCTTTGAACCTTGTTCTATAAGCGTTTCAAAGCCGGCAAGTGGGCCACGACCTGGCGGCCCTTCGAGCAGCCTTCCGTCCTTCACTGCCATATGCTGTTAAGGCGTGGCGAAGGGTGCTTTTTCCAAGGCGCCATCTGCACCGCAGTGCCCTGCCGTTTCGGCGTGGCAAAACGGACGTTTTTGAGCCCTTTGGCTGGCCTTTGAACCTTCCTCGACCCTCCACTGCCGAGGAAAAAATGGTCGTTCTAAGAAGATAGGTCAAACAAACCAAAGCATGATTCACTTTGTTCCAAAGATGTATGTTACACAAACCGTGATGATTTTTGGAACAGCAAAAAAAATCTCTGAAAACTACCTAAAACAACGAGATTTCAGGATTTGCGGGTTTTTGCGTTTTTTTTTTCCGTTTTTTTTTTTGCGGGGTTTTGTGGGTTTTCTCCCTAGTCGTTTGATGCGCTGCAAACATTCTTTGGCCCAAGCCCAAAATCATGCAATAAAGTCCTAAAATCGAAGACCAAAGTAGTATCTAGGCGTTTTGGGTAAAATCAGTCGATATAGGTCAAATTCCGAAAACACCTATATTTTTCAAGGATTTGGAGGGTCGAGGTTGTTTTATAAGCGTTTCAAAGCCGGCAAGTGGGCCACGACCTGGCGGCCCTTCGAGCAGCCTTCCGTCCTTCACTGCCATGCTGTTAAGGCGTGGCGAAGGGATGCGAAGGGTGCTTTTTCGAAGGCGCGATCTGAAAGTGCATGGCCGCTGGGCGTGCCCGGGTTGGAGTGGACTGCGGATTATACACATACATATATATATATATATATATATCTATATATGAATGATCGAGAGACCTTTAGGTACCATTTTGTTCCGGTAAATTCTGATAAATTTTAGAGCCTTTTGGAAAATTGAGACGATTTAAAGAATTAAATGATTCAATCCTTTTAATCCTCCAGAGCCTTTCGGGG